TATATTTTAAACTTTCAGTGGACCTTAGAACCACTTGGGAACTTTTTAAAAATACTGCTTCTTGGGCCTCCCCATAGGCTCATTAATCAGACTTTCTGGAGTGGGGTGGAAGAACTGGGCATTCAAATGCTTATCCAGCTCTACCGAAATGTTCAGGGACTGAGCTTTATTTGTCAGAGAAGCCCTGAGTCCAACAGCAAAGTGGGCTTTGCTAGAAAGGCAAGAAACAGCATATGGTGGGAGGAGGATCCCCAAGACTTCCTGAAGTCACAAAGAAAATGGAAGAGACACTGCTGAAACCAGCTTATCCATGGTTGGCTTTAGTGAACGGCAGCATGCTTCAGCAGGAAGAATTCAAATCCACTAATCACAGCCCCTTGCATTTCAGTCAAGAAGAAGGCACACAGAGGGTGTGCTGAGCGGCAATGGCATTGAAGAGGAAAAGCTTTAGATGAGTGGCATTGTTTCTGCATTTTTCACCCCCCCCCCATTTTATGAACTTCATGTTGTCAAGGCTGCAGTGACAGCAGACAATGTCTAGGCCTTTGTTGCTATAACCTGAGGACTTGAACCTCTCTTCTATGGCTCCAGCCCAGGCCTGTTAATCAGTTCTCCAGCTAAGATGAATCAACTTAAAAAGAAGAAAGATTGATTTTGACTCAGTTTTGGATATTTCAATCCATGGCTGATTGACCTCATGGCTTTGGGCTCAGGCACAGGACATCCTAGCAGAAGCATGCAGTGGAGCAAATCACTCACCTCCTGGCAGGGAAGTGAAAGAGTGAAAGAGGAAGGGGCAGGGTTCCACTATCCCCTTTGAAGGCATGGCCCCGATGACTCAGCGTCCTATCAGACCCCATGTTTTAAGGACTCCATTACCTCCCAACACTTGTCACTCCGGTGATCAAGGCTTCCAGCATGATCTTTGAGGGCATTAAGACCCAAACTCTAGCATCTGGGAGTGCAGCTCCCCATCTGGATGTTGTAGGGTTCACCTGTAATCCCACTACTTCAGGGGGCTGAGGCAGGAGGGTTTCAAGTTTGAGCACAGCCTTGGCAGTTTAGGGATTTAGCAAAGCAAGATAAAAATAACGGACTGGGGATGTACATGGCCCAGTGCACAATTCCTGGTTCAATCCCTAGAACTGAGATAAAATACAAAATAAAATAAAATGCTGGGAAAATCATGTTCTGAAGCGTTGCATGGGGAGTGCAAGCTCTTCGATTTCACGCATGGCCCTGGGCAGACACGGAATCTACTTCACTGTCTAGAATGACTGGGTCCCAGCGAGGGTGTTCTCTGCAGGAGGCCACACACTAGCTGCTGTAGGTCTGCCTCCCCCACAGCACGCACACAAGTGCTCTAAGTGACCCCACTTCTTCAGATCTCAGTTCCCACTCTTCTCACAGCTGCCACATTCAGCTTTTAAAATGCTTCTTCTGATCTTGCCTCACCTCACTTGGAATGTATCTTTTGCTCTCTCTTTTTTTCTGTAGGAAATCTCAGTTTTCCAACTGATCAGGTAAGACTCATTATTCACCCTGGCAAGCTCTCTAGCATACGAATCTAGCAAAACTGGTTGCGCTGCTTCCTGGGGCTGTGAATTTTGTACACACTGGTCTCTCTGCTTGGATTGCTCTAGCAAAGTCTTTCTCGTTTTCAAACCTGGATCAAATATCAATTCCTACAGGAACTATTTTGTTTGTTTGTTTTGTTTTGTTTGAGACAGGGTCTCACTAAGTAGTTGAGACTGACGTGGAACTCACTGTGTAGCCCAGGCAGGTCTTGAACTCACAGTGATCCTCCTGCCTCAGCCTCCCAAGTGCTGGGATTACAGGTGTGCGCCACCATGCCCAGCTCCTACAGGAACTATTGATAAAGAGCTAAACAAATACTTGTCAAGTATTTTCTATATAGAAGGCGCTATACTAGAAGATGGATATGTAAAAATGCCTAAAGCCTAGTCCAAACCTAGCCTTAACTACTTTCATTTCTTACCTTCCTTTAGCCCTGGTGCCTGTTGCATGCCTTTTACTTACATCAGTCTTCATTTTCTTTCTTGTGGGCTCAACAAATAATTTCTAGTCTTAGAAATGTACAAGTATTACATTGGATTTTAAATACATAGGCACATGCCCAGTGCTCGGAAAACATACAATGGTCAGAGATATTCATGGACATAGTTTCAACTAAAAAGTATGATAATAAGTGATGAGATCGCAGTTCAGTACTTTGTGACCAGGCCCAGGTTCAGGCAACGCGTAGAAGCACAGCAAAAATAGGTAGTTATTAAAGGCATTTGCTCCAAAGACAGACCAGACTGCCTGAGTTTGAATCTCAGCTCTGCTACTTATAAATTGGTTAAATGTGGAAATGAGTGAATTTTTATCCCGTTTCTCAAATGTAAAACAGAGACAATGGTAGTTTCTGCCTCATAGAATTGTTGAGAAGATTCATACCAAAACAAAAAAACAAACCCAAAACATTGCTTAGACTAGAGCCTTGCACACATAACTGTCTGTTATTGCTACTTTGTATACAAGGATAGCTGTCTCTTGCTATGAGCAGGCCCAGCGACTTTTATATTTAGCAATGAAAGAACTATTTGTTTTGCTGAGACAAATATGTACCTTTATCTAATTTTCATTGAACCAGCGGCACATGTCAGAACAAGGACTGGCCTGGGACAGCCCAGAGCTTGGAACTGAGTGTTTGTTTACATAGAGCTGAATGACATATGTGGGGAAAAACTAAAGTAGCACACACAGACTGAGTCAGCCAGCTGTCAATGCAGGCTGAGGCATAGCAGGCGACGGTCTATGGTGTAACAGCTAAGAGCATCAAGTCTGGAATCTAACTGCTCACATAGCCCCATGGCTCCCACCATTTACTTGCTCTGTGACCTCATCATTTCTTTGTATCTCAGTTTCCACAAGTATAAATTGAGATTGATAATGAAAGCCCCTATTTTATACAGTTATTGTGGGAACTTAATGAGATAACACGTGTAAAGCACTGAGAATATTGCTCAGTACAAAGAATATAGTAAATAATAAAGAAAAAAATGCATGCAGTGGACAGAAAACAGAAATAAAATCAATCACTATGAAAGCATTCAACTAAATGAGTAATGCCCAAGAGAAAATAAGGAAATTTTTATTATAATTACCTGCATGCAATAATCTTCATTGACGTCATCATTTGTTTGTTTGTCTCTATAGAAATCTCCAACTTATTCCCCTCTTATGTTGGGTTTAGATCACCAAAATTTCCCCAAATGAAATGTGTTCCATGGAATCTCTGCCCTAAAATATATGAGAGGAGAAAGAGCTTTGCAGTTGAATAAATTTGGGTAAAGGTGCACACCATATTCCTTTGAAGAGTCACATGTACAGTTATTTCCTAAGGGTTTAATAAGTATTAAAAATGTTTGATTTAGTTTAATCCAGCACTTCTCATTGATTTGCTCTTAGAGTCATTTGAAACATATGCTATTAAGATCCCTTGACTGCCTTACTGTGGGACAAGCACATAGGAGAAATGATTGCTTAGACAAGTATCAAAGACAAGTATTCTGAAGCGAGGGCTGGGGGGTACAAGAGGGAAGTGTGAAGAGAGGGCTCAGCATGCCTGAGGACAATTCACAAAGTCAGGAACCATAGAAACCCCTCTAGGTCACAGACTCAAAATACACATGATGCCCTGGAGTATTGCGGGGTCTTTGGGGAGTGTCCAGGGGGCCCCCTCCTACTACTGCCTCCTCCTGCAGCTGGGGTGCTGGGGTCTGTCACACCATGGACGATCACTAAGGGCCCCTACACATACTTTGTCATCTGCTTTTGGTCCCACACTTCCTGAATTTACTTCCTATTTTCTGGAAGAGAAGGGACTATGAGAAAAAACATTTAAAGTGAGATGGTCTATTGGGGAAACCAGAGGTCCAATCCTGTGTAGGAAGGAAGAAGGGCTTAGTGGAGACCTTAGCCCAGGTCCAGGAAAAGGATGGTCCTCTGAGAGGAGAAGAGATGAAGGATGAGGCCAAGAGCACCAATGAAAAGGACTCCTCACAGGAAGGCAGGGTGGCAAAGGTGCTTAGGAGAAATAATAGTGGCTTCTAAGGTCAGGGACAGAACGAGAGCCTCCTGAACTGTACTTAATTCATTTTTAGACTTCTAGTCTTGAAGAGAAAGGTGATATCTGGGGGAGGGGTGCTTCTTACAGAAGGGGAAGTGGAGTCAATGAAACATCTCTGTTAAGAGACACTGTGTATAAAATGGCTGCTTTTGCATTGTCCAATGTGTGTGCGATTTCCAAATTTAAAGTCCTTTCTTGGCTGCTCCCTGAAGGCAAGGGTGCCTTCCTCCTCTTACCCTTTTCTTCTCCCTCTGGGCTCCCACTCTAGAAGCAGGGCCTGGTGCAGACTTAACTGTCTTTGCAAGGTCAAAGATCAAAATATTGACCCTGGAAGAGTCCAGACTGTGAGGGGCTGCTGAGTGGCAATGAAGGATAGGGAAAAAGAAAAAGAATTATTTACCAGTATTAACAATGCCCACCTATGGGTGGTGGGAGAGGAGTTGTAAAAAAACTTTCCATTCCATTTTTCTGTAATAAGTATCTATTAATTTTATAACTATGGAAAATTAAGTTTATACCTCCAGGTCACACCTTATTTTCTAGAATCCTCAATTTGTAGAAAACCTGAACAGACAGACAGTACGTGTAAGCTTCGTTAGTGTTTTTAGCAGGGGAAGAAAAAAAAAAAAACAGCTGAGGGATGGAAATACACCCTAGAAAGTTATGTGCACATAATTCTAGAGAGGGGAAGAAATTTGCAAAGGGTGAGAAGGCCTTGGCCCAGAAATTCGGGAAGAAAACTGCAAATTTCACCTGCGGCGGGTGGGGCGGGGCAGGAA